CGAGGTCTACCCATAGGCTCCTTAGTAGTTCCTTTTTGGGACTACCTTATAGGATCCTAAATACCAACACAAAAAGGAACTACTAAGGAGCCTATGGGTAGAGCCCGAAGTTCCGGTCGTATTGTTTTAGGCTTCGAAGTGACCGTGAGCATTCTAAAGTCCCCTCGCATCGATGCAAAAGGCGGACCTAGCGCGCCACAGAAAAGCCTAAAACCCCATCCTAAATCCCAAACCCGAAACCCTGAGCAAATCCCTGCAGGTGGCGCATGGGAGGTGCTTCTCCCAGGAGGTAGAGGACCACCTGGAGTGCCTTGGCCCAGAGCCTTTAACACCAGTGCTTGAAGGAAGCCTTAGTAATCTTACAAGGAACCGAGAGGCATGTTATAAGGGTCTAGGATCTATAGCATAGGGTTTAAGAATTGACTGCGGCGATGAGGGTAAGTTTTATGGTCTTAGGGTTTGGGGTTTTAGATTCTTTCTGCCCCGATTGCGAGATTCAAAGTTTGGGGTTTCGGGTTCAACGGTTTAGGGTATATATATATACACATACATATACATATATAGATATATATATATATGTGTGTATATATATATAATATATATATATGGTGAATTAGGCGTTACGGGGTTAGGGCCGGGGTTTAGAGATTCGAGGTCAAGCTGGCTTCTAACGGGTTTTGTTCTAAATCGTCGATAAGGGTTGAGGGTTTAGGAGAAGCCGTACTAGGCGGGTTCTTCGAGGCTCCATCGATGATGGTCGCGTTGATGCTGTGTCATACATCATCCCCCAAACTGAGGCCTACAGGTACGACCTGGCCCTAGACAAGCGCAGTTATGTCTGTTTCTTGCTTTAATAAAAAGAGCTTAGGCGAGGGTCGGTGCCTAGAGCCGAAGGTCATTGAACTTCCAGATCATCTCGCCTCCCAGCGATGCACCGGCACTGAAGCAGCTTCCTGGCTAAGATTTGTCCAAGGTTGGAGGAAAGGAGGGTTTTGTTTTTTGCATAGACTTCCTCCTACTTCTTGCCGCTCTTGTAGGTCGAGACTCAAAAAAGGTAAGCTCCAATTAGAATCCAGAGTGTCGGTGTATTGTCTGATGACTTCGAACTGTGTAAGTTGATTCCGGCCAAAAACCCAAGCTATTGGAGCTCGAGCCTAACTTCCGCCACTGGCGTGCATAACCTCCCGCTCTGAGCCTGGATTGCTCTCTTTCGAAGCCTCTTTGTAAGCATGGCGGAGAAGAAAGTCGACCCAGCGACCGGCGAGGCGTACACGCTGAAGGAGCTCATGGCTCACTACAAGGGGACTTACAAGAAGAAGGAGTTGGAGGAGTACTTCGACAACCATTGCAGGCCCGTGAAAGTTCGACAGAGTAAGGCAAAGGCCAAGCCAACCAAGGACGCGAAGCCTGAGCCCAAGGCGAAGGCCAAGGCGAAGGCGACGGCAAAAGCAAAGTCCGCCCCAGCAAAGCCCAAGGAGGCCCCCAAGGAGGAGGCCGAGCCCAAGGGGTTGCGTACCGGCAAGGACGGGGGCGCCTCGGCCCTGGCGAAGCTCCGGAGCTTCAGTCGCTGTGTGCTCGCCGAGTACGTGTGGCTGGATGCCGATGGCGTCACCCGCTCGAAGACCATGACCATGACCGCCCGACCTATCAAAGTCACAGACCTGAAGGTCTGGAACTACGATGGAAGTAGCACCGGACAGGCGGATGGGCACAACTCGGAGGTGCTTCTGAAGCCCCGTGCCATCTTCAACGACCCTTTCCGCGGCTACCCCCATGTCATGGTGCTTGCCGATGCTTGGCAGGCCTGGGACGACCAGCCCGCCAAGAACAACACCCGCGCGACCTGTGCGGAGACCATGCAGATGTACAAGTCGCTGGATCCCTGGTTCGGCATCGAGCAGGAGTACACCTTGATGAAGCCCGGCCGTGTAGGTGAAAAGGCGAAGACGCCCCTGGGCTTCAACAAGGACGACTCCGAGCCGGCACCCCAGGGCCCCTACTACACAGGTGCGGGTTACAACGTGGCCATCGGCCGGCCTGTGGCGGATGAGCACTACAAGATGTGCATGGAGGCCGGCGTCAAGATCTCGGGCATCAATGCTGAGGTCATGCCGGGACAGTGGGAGTTCCAGGTTGGCCCTTGCCGTGGCATCGAGATGGGTGACCACCTGACCATGGCTCGCTACATCATGCTCCGGGTCACCGAGAAGCACGACTGCGTCTGCTCCTTCGACCCGAAGCCGAAGGAGGGTGACTGGAACGGCGCCGGCTGCCACACGAACTTCTCAGTGACGCCTATGAGGATCCTCCCTGGTGGCTACGACACCATCATCAAGGTGTGCGAGGCTTTCGGCAAGGTCGCCAAGGAGCACATTGCCGAGTATGGTGAGGGCAATGACAAGCGCCTCACTGGAAAGCACGAGACCTGCGACATCAACACCTTCAAGCGACTCGGGTGTAGGATCTCAGAGATGGTGCCAATGGGGTTTAGGGTTCAGGGTTTAAGGTTTAGGGGCTGATAACAAGCTTGCTCAACAAGCACGGGTCTTGGCTGTGAAAGGCTGGAAGTCTTCTTGGACACCACATGTCTATAGATGCAGGTGGATGGTTGCGTATACGGGACCCTGGTAGAGCAAGTTCAGACGGCTTCGAGATGCAAAGTCGGGGATGTTGAAGGGGAAGTAGAGGTTTACTATAGCTATAGATACCCTGAGCCTTAGACCTTAGAGCCTTAAAGCTTTAAAGATCTTAACAGCCCCAGAAGCCCCGGCAGATGTGAATTCAAGCCTCAAAGTTTGAGTAGCAGGTGCAGGAAGAAGGGCACATCAAAGACAGATCCTCAACAGAAGGGTCCTCAAATTGTCGGACCCATGAAGGAGGGACCACTGGTGTTAAGACGTTTATTACATCCATCTGTCAAGCCCCTCGGTTTTGGTCCCGTGTAAGAACTTTACAAACCATCTGACTAGGTACGGGGTGGCCAACCGCGGTGCTTCCATCCGCATCCCCCGCGATGCCGAGAAGGCGGCGCATAGAGCGAGATGCGTTGGTTTCCGGTGCTTACTGGCATTGTGCAGGAGGGTTTCATGAGGGTTCGGTAGGAGTTTGCCGGAGGTGTCATAGGGCTTTTAGGATGTAACCAAGTACCTAAAGCATCAAAAGGATCCTGGAATTAGGCTCCCTTTTGGGGTCCTTTTTGTATAAGGGTGCCGTACTATATTGGGGACTTAAAAAGGGGACCCGAATTTAGAGAAGCTACCCATATGTCTCGAAATCTAATCCCTGATAAAATCCCTAAACCTGCTAAGGCCCTTTTTTGCCTCCGCACCGAGCCTAGCAGATGGAATAGGATCCTTTTTCCAGAAGTTCAGGAGGCTTTACAGGTTCTGAAGGGATTCCCTGAAAAAATCTTGAAGGGGACTACCATGTTTCTTTAAGGGTTTGTGGTTTGGGCGTAGGCTTTGGGGTCTAGTTTTCTTGCATACTGTGAGGTGAGGGCAAGGGCAAGGCAGGGGAGGGCAGGTATAGAGTCTGCGCTGCGGTCTGCGCCCTGCCCTGGCCTAAACCTTAAAAGGGACGACATGGGGTGGAGACAGGCTTTCACAGCACAACCGCCTACACGCTATCCCACGGCAAAACCCTCAAGCCGAAACCCTGAACCCAAAAACCTTAAACTCCCTAAAACCTTAAGCGCCCTAAACCCGAAGCCCTGAACCCTAAATTTTAAAACCTTAAAGCGCCTTAAACCCGAAGCCCTGAACCCTAAAACCTTAAGCGCCCTAAACCCCGAAGCCCTGAACCCTAAAACCTTAAACTCCCTAAACCCGAACCCTAAACCCTAAAACCTTAAACTCCCCAAACCCGAAGCCCTGAACCCTAAAACCCCAAAACCCTAAACTCCTTAAACTCCCTAAACATCCTAAACTCCCTAAACCTCAAACCCCCAAAAACTCCTTAAACCCTCAAAACCCTGAAGCCCCCAAAAAAAGGGCCCCTAAAAACCCAGGCTGGCCGTGGTTACATGGAGGACCGCCGCCCTGCTGCCAACTGCGACCCCTACCGGGCCCTTTGGATTGGATTCTGGAAGCTCTGGTGTTGAGCCCTAAACCTTAAACCCTAAACCCTAAGCCTTTTAGAGGGGCCTTGTTCATGGGCCTTGCAGGGGTCTTGAGAGTTTCGGGTTTTGGGGTTTAGGGTTTAGAGTTTACGGGGGGTTGATGGCCTTTTCGGGCTTTAGGGGCTTCCGGGGGCTTTGGGGGGGGTTGAAGGGTTCTGCATCGGATTGGAGGGTCTTTGTGTTTTGTGGCTTTGTGGCAAGCTCATGGGTGTGAGGGCTTGGGCGGGTGCCGGGTGCAGGGCTTGCGAGGGCTTGACGTTAGGGTTTCGGGTTTCGGGGCTACCATGGTCTTTTTTTGGGTGCCGTGGTTCTTGATGGGTGGTTTCCTACGGCCCTGCGGGTCATCGAACATTGCTATGGTTCTTGACATCTTCCGACCAGTCATGATCGTAACCATTGTCTCCTTATGGCTGCGAGTATGTGGACATCTATGACAACATCAATGTGTGCGATTGCCTCTTTCTATCGAGATTCTTTACTCTCCATCAGCTCAACTGTCCATCCATGTTTGTCATGAAGACGCCCCCAGAAATTTACATCAAAGTCGGCGGATGGATTTCAGCTCTTGCTTGTTCTCTTCCGGATTCTGCAAAAGCAGCAACCAAGAGCATGCCTGATTGGAGCTTTCCGCAAGGTGACCAACATCATCATGAAGACCACTGGGGAGTGCCTGAACGCTGAGATCGTGGAGGCAGCTGCTTTCCGGTCCCTTTTCCAGGGGGCGTCGTGGGGAATCAAAAGGTACCCTGACTTCCGAAACGGGTCAGTGGCCACCCCTCAAGCCCGAAGCTTCGACGCGTGCATCCTTGTGAATCCCCAAGCCTACCCACGTGCAAGCATCTATCAGCTTCTTGACGAACGAGCGAGACTTTCAGACATAAGCGACACTAGCATAGACCGCAAGTTGTAGAAGCCCTGTTTTTTGCACGACACCCTCGTATGTCGGGACTCTTTATTCAAGAGGCCCCCCAAGGCCTGTAAGCTACTATAGAAGCCTCCACAATTACCATTATTATTTTCTAGGGATGCTTACCATATGTGTGGTAAGTATAGTATAATATACAACAAAACCGTGGTCCCATTTATTGAGGCCCCTATATTATATACCTGTTGGAGGCCGGCGCGAAGATGCACACGGCCTTCGTGTTCATCAAGCCCCATGCTGTGCAGCCTGGCGGCAGTTGGTGTGCTCTAGGATCCCAGGGTTTAGGGCTTGGGTTTAGGGTTTAGGGTTTAGGGTTTAGGGCTAGGGTTTAGGGGTTTTCGGGTTTGGGTTTTGGGGATTTACTTGTTTTTGGTCTGGCGAGAAGAAAGCTTCAAAGTGCCAGGGATGCAAACACCTGGCAGGAAGGGTTTTCTAGGTTGCGTCGCAAACATCTTCGTCGATGTTGTAAGTACCTTTATCCACGAGGAATCTGCTTGCTACCACCACAACACCTAGACTTTCGGAATTCAGCTGTTTTTCGATCTTCAGATACTTTGAGGGTTTGATGTACCGGCCAGCCTCAAGCCCTGACGCATCTTGCACTCCTTGGCAAGTTGAGGACCGACAAGGTGAAGACTCTGGTGAAGGACAGGAAGCCTTGAATCCCTGCAAGGTGACCCATAGGGTCGATGATATAAATCCTGCATGACCCATAATAAGGCATATACCATAGTTCCCATAGTTGAGGGTCCTTAAGCTCATGCAGGATTTATATCATCAGCAGTATGACCTTGCCCGTATTCAAGGGCTCGCTCATGTTTATGGTCCTGATCACGTCGCCAGAACCTGTTCACGTTTCCCTCCGCTGTGAAGCAGTACTCTCGGGATGTAGGATTCGGTCTATTATAATATGCTGTAACATGCAATAATATACTATAGTAGACTATAATGAACTAATCTACTATAATGGTCTCCGCATGTACCGGTCACCACCTCCCAGAGCCCCCTGGGCCTCTGGAGTCCGCAGGACAAGCTCACGGAAGGCGGCCTGACCATCAAGAGCGAGGGCGCGATCAAGGCATGGGGTTTAGGGTTGAGGGCGGTGTGCGGCTTCGGCGTTTGGGGTCTGGGGTTTAGCAATCCGTGATGCAGTGATGGCCAACCCGATGTCCTAATGAAGATTTGGGGCCTTCAAACCCAGAACCCTTCGCCTCCAAACTTCAGCCTGAAACTCCAAACCGAAGACACTGAATCCTATGCAAATAAAGCAGTTCTAGCATATATAGCTTTCAGGCCTATAGTAGCCGTTGCGGTAGTGCTTATGGCGACCCTTACAGTGACCAAATTCGGTGGTGCGGCCTTGGTCAGGCCGAAGTTATCGACAAGAAGAAGCTCATCGACATCCACTACGGCGCCATCGCCGCCAAGGTGGATGAAGGGCTTCGGAGGGAGTTTTGTTATGGTATATTACTATTATAGCATATTTTTGGTTTGCTATAGTCTACTATACTATATTACTGATATCACAATATGTTAGTAAGGAGTTGCTTGGGGTTAGAGATGATCAAGGTTTCAGCTTTGGGGCACAGCCGCGCTTGTAGGGTTCAAGCAGGGCGTCTGGCGTGCTACTTATCGCGCTTTGTAAACGGTTCACTGGCAACTCTTTCGGATCGCACATTCTAGCATCTTTTAGCATCTTGGAGTATCTTATCGGTCTATTACAATATATCGTAGTACGTTGTAGTATATTTTGGTACAGTGTAGTATAGCATAGTAGAGTAGAGTAGAGTATAGTAAGATGCTCTTGCTCTGAGGGCTTTGGCTTGCAGAGCTTCCGGACGACTGCACCGGCACTGCCACTCCCTACCACGATCAGAACCCCCCCCCCCCCCCCCAAAAAAAAGCCCGTTGCGCAAAATCGTAAACCCTGAAACCCTAAACGACT